ACGGGCACTACCTCCAACCTTTCTACAGAGAGAGAGAGAGAGGGGGGGTCTGTTACATCTGGGGACGAACATCCGCAAGAAGTGGCATTTTGAAAATAAATCTTATTACTAATCTCAATTGTTCTTTATATGTGAATTATAAATATATCATAATGTTATAATGTTAATTTTTATTGTTATTCAAAAAGGGAATGCTTCAATTTTTTTTTCAAATTGACTTATCCATTAATATAAATATTTTTTTTTAAAAATTGCATATAGATTTTCTTTTCTGTTTTTTTTTTAATTTTATTTCTCTATTATATCTATTACAGCTCAATACATGAAAACGGGATAAGAATGGACAAACCTGATAAAAAATTTAAAATGAAAATCGAGGAATAGCGATTATTTATAAAATTTCTGAAACATTTTATTATTACCAATACATATCAAGCGCGGATACAGGCATTTTCCGGAGAGGGGAGGAGGGTACAGAGCCGCGCACTCAAAAAAAAAGAAGACTCAGACATTATTGTTAAGCATGGATAAAAAACCATAAACTTATCCATACCTTATATAGCTATTTCGTTTTGGAGGGGGGAGGGGGTGTTAAATCGCTTTGCCTTTATAGATATACAGAAGATGTATAAATGTATGTGACTTTCTATGCCATTGTAACAGGGGTCCGTGTTTTCTAGAGGGATTGGGTTAACTATTAATATCATTTCAACAACTCTAAAAATTCCAAGGGGACCGGATCCCATGACCACGCCCCCCCCCCCCCCTCCCAAATTACGACCTCTTAACTAAAGATATTCCTAAGATGCTTTTGTTTTACATCCAAAGACGTATCTTAAGATAGTCCTAAGATATGTACAAAGTATGCTGCTGGTTCTGAGTTGGTTGGGGAAAAGCCGCATATGATTTGGTAATAGAAAGCGAATTCGTGTCGGACGTCTGAGAAAAATTGATTGAAATTCTAGCTTGAAGTTAATTTTCAATCCAAATTTGCTTTTCTCATACGCTTGATGCAGAAACAAATAATAATTTCAATTTCCGAATAGTTTGAATTTAATTCAGATTAGAAACTTCTATCCAATCTATTCTTTTAAAGAAATCATCAATATCTTTTAGGGCACGACAATTTTCATTCTATTGGGGGGGGGGGGGGGTAATTAAGAGGGGGGCGCTGGCAGATTTTGGAAATAAAGAATCTGTTCTTGAAAATACATGTATAAAAAATCTCTCCTCCAGTGACCGAAATCAGTGGTATTAAGCCGATATCCGTGCCAGTAGGTACGCATACATGTATCCTCAGATGTCGAAAAGCTCCACAGCTTCGAGAGTTTACATCTATAGATATACTTATATATCCCTTCAATCTGCTAGTGAATTAAAATGATTTGAAGATATATACATATAGTTTTTAAACCTATAAAGCAGAGAGAAATTTGCAACATATACCTTTATACAATACATTAAATCAAAGGAAATGATTCAAGCGCTCAAAATCTGAATAATCACCAAAGAAAACCCAACATTTCAAGAAAAAGAATATGGGTCACAATGTAATTAAATATTGGGACTTTATCAAAGATTTAAGCATACACTTCGATATTGTGGTAGGCGAAATGATGTACGGTCGAATCTCCAAATATGTTACGGCACCTCGAATATATCTGTTTTTGCATCTCTTCGTAGCATACAAAAATGTATATAAGTATCATTTTTGCCTCATTTCTAAACTGTTTTTACAATGTATGGATTATTTCCGTACTGTATAAGGTGGAGACCGGTCCTTAGGATAAGACCGTATAAACCGAAGTCCCTTATCGCAGTAGATGCTGGCACGAAAAAGATCTCTCTCTGCTCAAAAGCCGCAAGTGTCGAGTACAGGTCTAAATTTGCAGCCCCCCACCAGCAAGTGTTGGCGTCTCAATATGATTGAAACATTCTCGAAGGGACGTTAAACAACTAAGCAAACAAACAAACATTTTTATACATTGTATTTACCGGTACATGTAAAAGTATATGTATTCTTTCTCTACATAAGATTTGGATTTGGATTCATCTGTCTTTTGCAGATACACCTGTATGCATGGTATTATTTTATCTGAGACAACCCCCCCCCCCCCAAACACACACTTTCCACACTTTTCTGTGGTAGCGTTGAACCGCTTGCACCGTATTGTACAGAATATATTTCGTGCAGAAAAGAAAATGAGAGTATAACACCACCACCCTCCCCCCTCCTTTCTCAGTTTTAAGAATTTAAGTTTTGTAAAATAGTCAACAGCCTATTTCCCTTTATTGCTTGTAAACATTTTGTTTTTTTAACATTTAAAAAAAATCCTGAATGTTTTCCTGAGGCTCAACCCCTCTCCACCTTAAAAAACATTGTTACAGACTTGAAACTACAAACTTTACTTTTCACGATTGAAAAGGTTCCTTGTCGACGGATTTTTCCGTATTTCACGATCATGACAAGGAGCACACGGCGGGTATGACCGGTCGGCAAGGGATGCTCGCTCCTCCATGGCATCTGATCCCACCTCTGACATTTTAGAGGTCCGTGTTTGCTCTGCTCCCGATTTGTATTGTTTAATGGACATTTGAGCTTGAATACCGTTCGTTATCTACATATATTTCATTCATTGAAAGGGCAGCTCCCCCTTTTTTGTTGCAGTATAGTCAATTCAGGGTAATGTATTAATAAAATTTGGTACTGAAAGATGGAAGACCTACCCTCCCCCCTTACACCTCCCACGAAATAGGATTTTCGAGTATGTTGAATTTTTTTCTCTTGCTGCCACAACCCCCCTTTTTTTCAAAAACGGTGCTACGTTCCTGTGAAATATTTGACAGATACATTTATGCGCAAATTGTTAAAATGCAAAGAATTAGAAAAAAATAAAACTAGCAGGTACCGATATCATTTACACATGGTTTTTATGTCCAAAACATCAAGGTACGCTTATCACCTTCATACGAGATATATAATTTATTTGGCGGTTTTATTCAACTCTGCTTGTCGCTAGCTAATTGTTAAGACTCAATATATCTACAATTCACTTTGATTCATTTAAGGAAATATGACAAAAATAACAAAATCAAACGGTGTAAACTCATGAACCTGTCAAGCTCGACGTCATCTTGGGATATGCGTACCTACCGGTACAGATATCGGCTTAATACCATTGAATATTAAACAAAAAAATAATCCGACAATGACTGGTGCGCCTCTCGCATGAAATGCATCTTTGCTAACCAAAAACTTTTACACATGTAGTTGTTGGAAAGCTTTTTCTTACAAATATTTTTGATATAAACAACAAATTTAAGCATTTGCTGTCAATGAATACATAACATGAATGTGTAATAAAATATCTAAAGAAAACCTGGATAGACATTTAAATTTTTTAAGTAAAAAATTTATTTATGAAAATAAAACACATTATTTGTGAATATTTTTTAAGCTTATGGATAAAATCTTCATAAAACTAGTCAGAACTATGGAGAACATGTTAGTCAAACATATTTTAAAAAGAAATTGAAATAAAATTGCAAAATTTTAGGAAAACTATTTTTTTCAATATTTAGACCAATCCCGATCAAAATTAACACAAAATAAATAAAATGAAATTATTGCCTTCACTAAGAAATTTATTTATTTATCAAGTTCAATTACTTTTTAACGCGTATTACACCTTAACAAACTTGTATTTCTTCTGAAAATATTATCTATTATCAATTATTATAAAATTCTGGTTGGGATCAGTTTAATTTCGATCGGGATCGGCTAAAATTTGTAAAAAATAATTTCTCTAAAATTTCGCAATTTCGTTTCAATTTCTTTTTCAAATATGATTGTCTAACATATCCTTTGTAGCTGTGACTTGTTTTTTGAATATATTATCCATATGTTTTGAAAATATTCACAAATAATGTACTTTTCCGAAAAAAAATTTTAGTAAAAAAATTAAAATGTCTATCTGGCTTTTCTTCACATATTTTATGAGATATTTATATTATGCATTCATTAACATCAAATTTTTAACTATAAAGCATCTTATTTGCAAATAAAAATTTTTTTCATTTTCTATGAAAAATTGGAGAAAATTCTTATAAATATTCTTAACATAATTAAGAGCTAGCCCTTTCAATGCTGAAACCATGACTTAAGGAAGCTCTAAACACTGCACACTAAAGAGTTCTATTTGTAGGGTAGTTTTATTGGGTGATTTGCCCTTAGAAGAAAAATAGTATAAATGGGAATCTACAGTTAATGACACAATTTCTAATGAATTAAAGTATTCTTAATGTTATGTTAGACCAAGATTAAGTAATTGAATACATTATTTCCATTAATTTTCCTGATGCAAGTAAAAAACATTTGATTTCTGTTCACAAATAGTTCATTGTCTTTGAACATTTTTTCTGCAGAAATAAGGCAGGTACTTTATGTTGAAAATGAACTTGATACACTGAATATGTGCACCTTTACATGATATATTTTTCTCAAAGCCCAAAAAGCGTTTAGAGCTTCCTTAACATGGATGTCTTAAGACCAATCGAATTAAATTTTGGTGTGGCATTTCTCCTTAAGGAAGTAATTATGGGTCCAGTTCCTAATGAATAGAAAGCCTCATTTGCAGTTTGTATAAACAAGAGCATAAATTATTGATATAAAATTTTATTCAGAAGATAAATCACAAATAAATACCTCACCTTTAATATCATCAATGTTCATTTTTGCATACTTAAACATACATCAATAAAAAGAATTGTTATTATTTTAAAAATATGTAACTATATAAATCAATACTAAAAAAGTCTAACATTTCCAATGTTTTACTGAGCGTTCATACAAAAAAAATTATGTTTGACTGCAGAGTGAGATATTGGACATTGGACCGCTTATGTCACAATGTTGGCAGGATCAGCTAAATCTTATTTTCATCTGTTGGTGTTCGACAGTAACAGAATTGACCAAGTTTAACGCAGTGCAGGTACAGGAAATTAACATCATAGAAGCCAGCACGAGTACAGTCATAACTGAGGTACAATGTGTAGTAGGCCTCTCGGAGTAAATAGAGAACAAGTATCAGCTGTCAACATGCAGTAGACCTGAAACAAAGTGAGAAAAATTATTACATCACTTATGTCAGCTAAAGGAGCTTTGAGCGAGCTAACAAAATAATAAGGTTATAACCCTGCTGCAATTCTTTTATTTAGAATGTGTAAATGTGACCTTGAACTTACCAAAATGACTTTGGTAAAAAAAAGACAGATCTTTGGACATGATTAAATTAAGAGTGAAATATGGACATCCAATTTTTCTCCTTGAACTTGAACTTGTCACAATGACCCTCAGGTCAGAAAAAAATTTTTGTAGCAAATTAAAGCTCAGTTACAAAGTTATTGACTGGACAAGAATGTTATCTCTTATCTGCCAGTGACCTTGAACTTGCCAGAATGACCTTGGTCAAGGTCAAGACAAACTTCCAGGTCATAAACAATCTCTGTAGCAAGTAAGAGCTTCCAATGATTCTCCATTACAAAGTTACAGCCTACACAAGTGTTTTATACCTTTTAAGCCAGTGACCTTGAACTTGCCAGAATTGCCATGGGCCAAGGTCATGACACACTCTCAGGTCTTCAATAATCTTTGTACCAAGAATGAGCTTCAATGATTCTCCGTTGCAAACTGATATCCTGGACAAGAAGTTTATATCATTTCTGTCAGTGACCTTGAATTTTGACAGACTGTTTGATGGGATCCCGCCAATCATGTCGGGTTCATCAGGACATTTGAGCAATATAAGCCTTAAAGATTCAACAAACTTTCATAAAATAATTATCGTTAATATTAATAAATTAGTTTAAAACTATACTAAACTTAACTATTTACATCATATTGAAACATTGTACTGAACAAAAGTAGTTTTGCCCTTGACTTGTTAATAACAGCTGTGGCTAAAAATAGTGATTGGGACATGTGGGGATTTTTTCTTTACAGAGCAATGACTGTTTACAATCTAACATATAAGAAAGGATAAGATAGGCTAAGATCCCTTTTTGGCCCCTGGTTTGGGGTGTCTTTTAGAATGTTGCAACAGTTAACTGTGTTCTGACTTTTACATCAAATAAGGGGCCAGATTCGGCCATTACCATACCTTGTCCTTTCTTTAAAAGTTTTTAGATAATTTATTTGAAGGACTGAAATGGGGGTTCAACAGTTATTTTATCAATACGACCAATTGGTCTTTTACACGACTGGACTACTCATTTACTAGACTGGGTCAAACATGCCTTAGTGTCAAACCCTGTTGAACTAGCTGGAATGACCTTGGGTCAAGATCTTGACACACCAACAGGTCATAAACATTCTTTGTACCAAGTTTGAGCTTCCAATGACCAACAAGTTGGCACCGATAGACTGACAAGGTGATTCTTATATATTCCCCCAACCTTTATTGTGGGGGTAGAAGACCAGCATGATGAATATATAACAGAACATTCAGGATCTAAATGAAAAATGGGGAACTCCTGATACACGTATCAGAGTGGAAGGAGATGCTCAATACAAAATGCCACCTTCAGTGCCATTGGGAAAACCCAATTCTAAGCTGCTACCCAAGTGACATATACTGTGTTCTTAGAGGAAGAATATTGTAGCAGTGTTCTATGGAAATAAATTTTGTAAGAAAGGTGAAAGCTGAGAAATAAAGGAAAGGAAGTTACCTGCCCAGTCATGAGGACTGCACTGTCACCATTCCTCCAAAGACAATGATTGTGAATGAGAAGAGATGGGCTGCAGAAAGTGAAAGTGAGCTGCAAAGTGATGACCATCCACTAGTCATCTTCTATTTCACCAGTGGTGGTTAAGGTGCCACTCTATACAGATTATCTGAAAAACAAGGAAATTTCATTGAAAACCTAGAAGACTTGCTGCAATTCTTTGACTCTCAAAGAAAACAGACAGCTATGGCTCAATTAGCAGCCACACATTCTGAGAAGAATAAAAGAATCCACACAAAGAAAATTTGCCTTTGACCTAAAGCTTCAATGCAAAACAGAGTAAAAAAAAATATCAGTACTATTAGCACTATTCCATGAGATTTACCTTTGATTAAGTGGGCCATGTCTTCTACCATCAATTCAATCATAAGCTGCTACCAGAAACAGTGTGGAAAGTCCTGTCAACTTACCGGTAATTCCTTTTCCCGTCGATGACTGAAAAGCAATGAGTGGAAATTTCAGTGTAGCCTAGTGACTATGAATTAAACATGACAGAAGAAAATGTTTGTTAAAAGATTATTAACTTGACTTTTAAGTCCAAATAATCTTGCTAGCTAAAATTAAAAGAGTGTTCCAAGGAACACATGTGTCACCTGATGAACAGCATCATTTAAGATTAAAAGAAAATCTAAGATGGTCAAATATTATTTGATACAAGCATTATGAGGGCTGTTAAGAGATTATTAGTACATAGTGTTTATTTTTCTTTCCAAGTAATGCCTTTTGGTGAAAAATGGCATATATGTTTGAAAAACACTAAGAATTAATAAAAGCAACAAATATTTTACAAATATTTTATTTCTTCTTTTCAATGGTATATTAATAGGTAAATAGAAGGGGTACCCGGTGCCGTCACGAAATCATATATTGAAATATGTTATACCTATGTTCAAACTCCCAGTGGACCAATATACAGCAAGAGCGAAAATAATTCAAATTATATATCGGTATTTATTTTTTCAATTTCATTTCAATTCATTTTGTGCAAGCTTCTTAGAATTTCAATCAGAAATACGGAGATCATAAAAAAATCTAAGCTTGGTATAGATATCTGATTACATCAATAAAATAGATTTTGACGTCAACGCGACACAGCAAGCATACCTATAGAATTTTACGTAGCTCTGTGGAGAACTCTTTTCCAGACTAAAAGATCTGCTTAAACAATAACAACTAGTGCTAACTGTAACGAGAACTGTTTCAGATGTTCCCCAGACATTTCCCCATTCTCTTATTGGCCCCATTCATTACAGGCTTCATTTAATTATGCAATTCTTTTGTTTAATAAATCTATACTTTATTTTCAGTAGTATTTATTCGAAAAACAACACTGGTATAGTTCTTCGAGTATTAGCCAATTGGATTTCAGCACATGCTAGGCCTGAGTATTGCAAACTACCTAACAATATGATACATATCATGATACGGTCATGTGATATACAACATGTACCACGATACAGCTGTCACCAATTGAATTAAGCTTTATCTTAACATATAATTCTTTGCTAACTCCAAAGTTATAGAAAATATACAAAGAATATCTTGATAACCCTTATCAAAGTTAACAAAAGGTGGATTTATAGTCTTGATATTGTATTTTTTCTTTGCTACCTTTTTTCAGCCATTTTAAAACATTAAAATTTGTTAGGTTGTATGTAGAAGTTACAAACAAAACAATGAAAATTATCTTCTACTGTATCAGAATACATACATGGCGATACGCGTATCATCAGCCCTTGCGATCAATACGATCGATTTATTGCTGTATCGTTACACCGCTAGCGCATGCACATGCCCATATTTTCTAAATATTTCATATTCCTTCCTCGTGAAGAGACTCACAATAAATAGCTATGTAAGAAATCTAAAGATTTTCATTGAAAACTATGAGAGATACAGCCATATAAGTATTAGCAAATCAGAATCCACGTTCGTGCATTCAATTTTCAGAGTAGCACAATGTAGGAACCCAATACACCTATCTATATTGTAAATTCCATCCAGTTTTGTTAAAAACTAAGAAAGTTACTACTGTAACAGCCATTGAAAGTTTAAGCCAATCAAATTGCAGCACACTTGCATGAGCGTGTTTTCACAATATCTCATATATTATATCAAAATGTAGAGCCTTGTTGTGTATGACTATGTTTTAAATTTCAAAGCATTTCATCAAAAAAAAAAAGGTTATTGAGATTTTTTGTGTCAGTCAAACAGAGCAAAGCACACATGCATGCACATGCTTTCTTGCTAATTCAACCACCTCTTCTTGTCTACACCACTAATATAAGTTTATACAATGAAGTTCAAAGCATATCATAAAAAAAACAGGAAGGTTAATGGTGTTTTAATTGCTTCAGTCATTTCACTCCTTGCACGCGCACGCATGTGCATGTAAGTGTGGGTAAAATGACCTTCCTTCTGCACATCTACATAACATGCCTGTTAACCCTAAAAAGGTTTCATCTCAATCAGTTGAGTAGTCTCTATGATGTCAGAGAAAGAAGCATTAAAGCTTCCAGACTGTCTCAACATGGTAAAGATCTATGGCTGGCATGAGATGAAAATGAAGAAGCAATGATGCTTTAGGTCAATAGACATATGCAAGTTTATAATTCCAATGGGACATGTCTAATTATCCTATCAATTAGAAATTTTGCATAGCTGTTTTATTTGTTCTTGTGAAAATGTTGACAAATTTTCATGAATTTATGTCTTTCTTTTATGGAGTAAAAGTAAATGTCTCATTATAATTTCAAAATAGCCCTTATATAGCAAAGAAAAAAAATCCACAAATAGTAAGACCCATACAGAATAGCATTTATCATAAAAAAATCTGACAATAGATATATGATTCTCCACCCTTCAAAGCTAAAGTGAATTATAAAATTGAAATTAACAAGAAGTCTGTGAGCCAATGTTCACTAGTAATACCCCCGCTTTGATGTGAATATACATTCTGATGTGAATATACACAAGTTCAGTTATGGACAGACACAAGGATGAACAAGAAGTTGACATCGGATTCGTACAAAAATGAATCCCACCATATGACATGCCTAAACAAAGAATGTACTAAAATTTCAAGCATCTGCAATCAGTAGTTGCTGAGAAAATTGCGACCAAAATTTGTTATGTATGGTACGGACAGACACACGGATAAACAGGAAGTTGACATCGGATTTGTACAAAAATGAATCCCAACATATGACATGCCTAAACAAAGAGTGTGCTAAAATTTCAAGCATCTGCAATCAGTAGTTGCTGAGAAAATTGCGATCAAAATTTGTTATGTATGGTATGGAAAGACACACAGATAAACAGGAAGTTGACATTGGATTCGTACAAAAATGAATCCCACCATATGGCATACCTCAATAAAGTGTGTGCTAAAATTTCAAGCATCTGCGATGAGTAGTTGCCGAGAAAACTGAGACGAAATATTTGTTAGGGACAGACAGACAGACACACAGACAGACAGACAGACACACATGGGTAAAACAGTATACCCCCCTCTCCTTCGGAATGGGGGTATAATAATTAAAATAATTATTTTTAATAAATATACCTTTATCCCAGATATCTTCCAAAAGAGATTTCACTCTCTATTCACTCTATAACGATACTTTTGGTATACCCATCCTGATGTCTTTTCATTGTATTTAAATTTCAGTTTGTGTGGTTATATTGCATACAGTTTCAAAGTACAGTGTCATGAGCTCATATACAGTAACGTGATATAAATGCTAATTATCAAAATCCTGCCTCTCAAAATCAAAAAACAAAGAAAAAAATAATAATAATTCAATCAACCGCCAGAGTGATTTTATAAAATCAAAATGCTGGTACAGTTTCTTTGCAATAAATACTCGTTTAGATTGAAATCGGTTAACTTGAAAAACTCTGTTAATTTGAAGTGATTTTGGGGTCTGCTGAACCAGTTTTGATAACGGGTACATTGAAGTTGCCGATTGCGACGCATGGACTCAGGTGACTGACTATATATAAAGTCTAGCACGTGTTAATTTTTCACAGGTGATTTGATGTTGGTGGACCTGTACAAATTTAATTATGTGTTGTATAGATAAAATAATAATAATTGAGCATTTCTCACCGGAACATATTAGTCCCCATTTTTATTTTCTATCTACGGCATTAAAACCGACATGGATAAAATACGCAGGGGTGTCATGTGTACATTGGTGTGTGGAGAATAGGGCTGTGTATTGACCAAAATATTTCGATAAGATATTTTATAAAGCAATATGCAATATATTGGATTCTTAAATAAGTCTAGCAAAAAGGTCTTGTAAATCATTTAATGCATAAATTTGATAAAAACTGGGTGTTTTAATACCAAATTGGAAGTTCATATGTCTCACTGTCTTTACAAAGAACACTTCAAATTCAAACTTTTAATGACTGAAAATCTAATATGTTAAAATATAGTTGTATATGAATTTTGCAATAGTTAATTAAGATGTGCTATCTCCTTAATGTTTATTTTATTAGGCCAAAGTTTTTATTTTTGTTGGTTTACGATTTTCTGTCTCCAAAAAATGCATTGGGTGGTCGAAAAATAAAAATAAAAATAATTTAGGATTCAACAATTTCATTTTAAAATACCAGCAATGTTTATTTTAATGAAAATAATACACATCAATAGTACTTTTAAGTTTTATTGTCTAGATCACATAACTCTTTTTATTTAATTTTAATTCATTTCTAACTTTAGACTGAATGTCATTTTCATTTAGTTCTGATTTTTGTTTATCAATCAGTGCTTGGTTCATGATGTTCAACTTCTTTTTGTGCTCTTCAGTGATAGGTGATGTGTTATAAACCTCAGTATACCCACAAACTAAAAATAAGGATCCAAATTTAAGTTAAATTTAGATTGAAGAAAAATACAATTTAATTGTTTAACAATATTGAAAGTAATTAACGTTGAAATAAAAGTTATAATAATTTGATCATGCAGCTATCAAATTTAATGTTCCAATAATTTCTCAATCAAGTCCTTCTTTAAATTTTGTTATGTACCCGCACAGTAGGCAATGCTCATTATTTACTTTATAGTAATTCAGAGGGCTCTGATCTCAATTGAGTATCAAATTTGCAAAGATTTGTATATTAAAATTACTTCTATAAATTAACAAAATGTTTTATACACATTTGAATTTATCCAGTGAAATACCAGTCAGCTTTACTTCAACTAAGATGTATCTCTCAACACTAAATTGGCTTCACTATTATCCATGGATTTATCAGCCTATGATTTTGGGAAACACCATTTTGGGGGAATTGGGAAAAAATTATCGGCTATTTGATGAAATTGGAAAATTTTTTAAAATGTTGCTTAAATCACGTATTCAGGGGTAATTCATTTAACATTTCAGCATGAACTCTAATTTGGGCAACCAAACGACAATTAAATATGATCCATCTTCATCATACAATGATACAAGATCAATTATGAATAATAGACTAATAAAGGTAAAATGGACTTCAATGAGTATAAAGTATTTTTACAACTTAGGGTAGTACATGTACATGTGTGTATGAGATTTCAATTTAGGTCATTATAGTATCTGTTTCTGGAGATTATAAACCTCCTGCAAAACTTATACTAAGTACACATTTTCTAAAAGTCCTATTCACATGCAGATCAATAGAGTAGGTGGAAATAACTTAATAAATCTATATAATTACACAATATCATCATTTTTAGAAAAACGGAGGAAATTCGGATTAAAAGTTGGCGATGTTTTTTCAGTGTTTTTAAACATGTGTTATGACTGTAGCTTTGCTAAATGAGTTAAATAGATGAAAATTACTGACAATTTTACTTTTTTCCAAAGATAATTAAAAATAAAAGCATTGTTCACCAATTGGGAAAAAATACTGCCAAATTGGAAAAACTGAACTCATTTTCAATTGGGAATGAGGCCGAATTTCGGCCCATGAGAAGGCACTGATAAATCCCTGTTATCTATAGGTGTATCCGTGTCTGCTAGGTCGATCAGGGTTGGGCATACACTCTCCAATATTACGGTATGAATTTAGCCAATTGAGACATCGCAATTAGAGAAAGGGATCATACATCCAAGATTTTATTCACTTTTCCATGCAGAAAAAGTTCTTTTAAGTGTGTGTCATTGCTTTCAGTGAGGAATTACCTTGTTACATGACAGAACCGCCATTTTTGGTTTGCACATGTGTTTATTTACGGTCACCTAAATGTTTGTAAAGGGCTCATATATTTATATACATTTATTTGACTAAGATGTATTCTAAAATTTAAAACCCACCAGTTCAGCTGAGAAAAATCCGGAAAAATATTTCGGAAAAAGACATTATTTTTATTTTCATGACTGGTGAAAATTAGGGTCGGCGGAATCGTAAACCAATTGAAAAAAAAACTTTGGCCTTATTGACCAGTTTTAATTAAAAACAGTTAAAAATTATCTTTGGTGACTGAAATTCCCAACTTTTTCACAGAATTATAAGAAAAACTGTCTAATCCCAATACGTATTGGAAGTTAGTTTGTCGATACGATAAATTCCTGAATATTGATATGTATTGATTAATCAATATATTGACACAGCCCTAGTGGAGAAAGTGCCGGAGTAAATAAATCCACTGTAATTAAGTAAATGGAAAATAAACTTCTTGAATTGAAGTATATGAAGCATATGTTTTCAATGCTGATGAGACAGGGCTGTTCTATAGATTTGAACCTGACAAATCATTGCATCTATGCGGAAATGTTCAGGACAAACTTTTTTCATGTATAAATAGTCTTGATAGTTTTCTAACACAGATCAAAAAAAAAAATAAAATAAAATAAAACAGTAAAAAAAATTTAGGACATTTTTGAAACACTGCATGTAATGTTATGTAAAAAATATGAATTCTCACATGTATATTTTTTTTACTGTATAGTCAAGCCTCGTTACCTCTAACTTGAAGGGACCGAGAAAAAACTTCGAGATATCTGAGGATTCGAGATATCGAGGGTTAAATACTTAAAGAATAAGTGGTTGGGACAGCAAATCACTTTGACATATCCATGGTATTCAAGATATCAGTGTTCCAGATAATGAAGTTCAACTGTATCTACATTTTTTATGTAATTCATAGCACACAGATATAATGAAATTCGGTTAATTTGAAATAAATCTCAAGGTCCCTTAAATTTCAATGTAAACAAGTTTGACTGTATATGGTATTTTACAAAAGCCAAAGTGCCAAGCAATGCAAGTGCAAAGTATCAAATCCATTCCTCTTACAGTTCTCAGGAGCTAGGGTATGACAGACAGACAAACAGATAAAGTGATCTCTAAGTGTCACTTTTACCAAAATTTTTTTTCATAATTATTTTGTTTTCTTACCTCTCTGAAGAGCATGACAAAGGTTACATAGGTGATAGGTAGAAATACATGCATGGGGTGTATTGTTGTAATCTTTTTAGTGAGCAGATTGCATCATGCATTGTTTATCTGCCGTTGCTGATCTTTAACAAGGGAGACTTCTCCTGAAATAAGAAAAATTATTTTCAAAAGTGAAGTTACCTGTTACTCTTAAAGGGACATAGACACTGATTCGACATTTTGAAATATTTTCTCAAATTGTCTGTATTATATCATGACATATATGTGACTATAGCATTTCACATGGAAATATAATAAAAAACTTATTTTATCTGTAAATTATTGAAACTATGAATTTTGGGATGCGTTTGATTGACACATCCTTGCACTTTCACAAGTAAACTTCATCCTTAATACTTAAGAAAAATAGGTTTTTTGATACATATTAATGAAAAAATATTAAAAAAAAATATAATCCAGAAAATTAAGAGAAGAAATGAGAGAAAGCAAAACCAACTAACCAGTATTGCCAGTCCGTGCTCAGTGATGTGTGAAGAGTTTAACAAATTGAACACAAAACAGTTTACGTTCCATTGGGTGTGATCAATTTGTTAAACTCTGCACACATCACTGAGCACGGACTGACAATACTGATGAGTTGGTTTTGCTTTCTCACATTTCAACTGTGAATTTTCTGGATTTTATCTTTAATCTATTTCATTAAAACACAACAAAATTTCTACTTTTTTTAAGTATCAAGGATGAAGTTTTACTTTGTGAAAGTGCAAGGATGTGTCAATCAAATGCGTCCCTAAATTCGTAGTTTCAATAATTTCCAGGTAAAATAAGTTTTTTATGATATTTCCCTGTGAAATACTATAGCCACACATATGTCTTGATCTAGTCAAAAATTTTAGAAAATATTAACTTCAAATCTGAGTCTATGCCCCTTTAAAGGTCATACACAAGAAAACAATTCACTATATTTTACTATAAAGCCTTGATTAAATTAATCAATTAATATGACCCTCACTAGATAAAAGATGAAGAAAAAATGAATGATGCTTGGACAAAAATTTGAGACCAGAAATAAAATAATTCCTTATGCAGCTTTTAACCCTTTGTGTGCTGAATTGATTTTCAGTGACCTGTACTGCAGGACTGAGTTGTTTTAGAACATTAACAAAATTATAACAATGATGTATTTGACTGGGATTATTTTTTGTTACAGGCAATCGATTTGACTCAAATTTGTCACATATATTTCAGGTATCAAGCACTTTTGATTGATTTCTTTTTTTTTAAATTAGGCTTATTTTACTGTTGCCATGGTAACATTTTTCTTCAAAAAAGAGAAAATATTCAGTTTTTGAAAGTTTATCATAAATTTCTTTAATTAAAACACACTCCTGAGGTATAAAAAAAATGTTGGCTTCTAAAATTGATAATATTAGAATATAACAAGTATTAAATTAATGAAAAATAAATGAGAAGAAAATTGTATTCAAGCATTTTCAAGTACATGTTTTAACACTGCAACTCTAGAAACATGAAAAAAAAACAAACTGCAGAAACATAATAAATGAAACATGTACTTACTTGCAAATGTTATAGACTCCTTTTATTATATACTGAATTTGTTAATGTATAGTTATTTAGGTTTTTTCCCATTATTCAATTTTCTTTTGTTCAGTCTGTAATTGTATTACCATGGTAACCAAAATAAGGGTCAAATCTTGAAGATAAAAGTACTACCATTAAATCTTGAAATGTGATAACTATTTATAGAAGGTAACCTAAGTAGTGCATGCACTAGTCTTCCTCTGAGCCTTTTTTTTTTTTAAATATTGTTGGAGAGATGTAATTTTTTTAATTATTAGAGAAGTGTAAATCTCAATAACATTACTATGCTCTGTAAATGTGCTAGATTTTTTAACTGTACAAATTGATGCATTGAAAAAATCACTTAATACTGGTTATGGACAAGAAATTAATTGCATATTTTTAAAGACAAGCAAGTAAATATATTAAGTCATTGATCATCATAGGAGATGAGTATGAATATCACATATTTAACGATAGCTAGATCATGATCATCACTCTTCTGTGACTTCTGCAGGTTTAAGTCTTTTGTAAGCAAGCAAGTAGTCTGACTTCGTGTGATACAGTTCAAAACATGGCTCTACACAAAGTGCCACTTGGCAATGGGTGCACTGGTAGGAGGTTTGCCTTCCAGGTCTTTTTCTTCCCAACTCTGGCTTGCTGTTAGCCTTACAGCATACAATACAAGATCTACATAGTGCCTTCTGTCTGTCTCTGCAAATTTTCCCCAGAAAGTGCCTGCCGGTCAACCTTTCAATTGATCTCCCTCCAGGCCTCCCAATGACTTTGGTATGAAACTCTAAAGAAAATCATTTTATGCATGCAATTTTTATGTCTGAAATGAAGTGGAATATTCTGGCTTAAAGGGAGACTTTTTAAAGCTATGTTATTTACCATCATTAGAATTAAAAGCAATTTTGTGTAAATTTACCCCCTGAGCTGTCCAAGAGCTCATGGACCAGCTTCTTTCTGAAGTGTCTGTGAGTGAGTATACACTCTTCTGGTGAGTTTTCCTTGTACAGAGTGTATGCATTAGCTATTGCCAAGGTGATTAAGTGGAAAATGACTTTTTTCCACCACTTCATGGTCTTGATCTCTAGTTTTGCTGCTGAGACCACCATGTCTAGCCGATCCACAGCCCCCATCATGCTGTTGTACTTGTGGACTACAAGAGGTTTCACCAACTCCTCATCCCGGTGGTTATGCTTTCCTGTCGCCACTGGTGTTGATTGGCTTACAGTACTTATAAGGTACACTGGCTTTGCATCTAAGTATTTTGTCACAGTCAGAGGGCCATTCGACACAACTGACACATCACCTCTACTTTCAAGCTGGACCTGAAATTTATGTGATAAGCATTTCTATGTGACACCTTAGTCACTAATTTATAATAGTAATCTTTTTTATCATTGCTTTGTATTGTACTCGGAAAGCTTGAAAGCACTCCACAACTTCTGTTGTTAGTACAATGTACATGTACCTATGTGTGAATTCATGATGCCATTTTTTTTACTGAGGGTCTGAGGATTTGGCCCAGCCTTTGATATTGATATTTGATGTTATTCTTGAGAATCTCATATCATTCACTTTGAAAAGAAACTTATGGGTCTTTCAGATGAGACCTTTAAAAAAGACCTCATGTCACATCATGACTTGGCATGATAAACATTTATCACTGCTCAATGGTGCAGAGTGATGCCTTAAGGTCAATGGCATGTTACTTCTCATAGGTCAATTGAAATAAACAGGCAAGGGATGTAAAGGAATGAAAACAACAATCAATCCTAGGTCAACATCATTAGGACTATTTTCCTGGTATGAGAATTTATTTAAAAGAAAACGGATGCTTGTTATTTGGATATATTCAAGCATAATGCTCCATCTGGGAGTGTGCAAGGAAATCATCCTGAATACATATAGTAACCAATGATATTTCAGGACTTTTGTGTATAAATATACCTTTTTTGAGCAAGAAAATGACACTGATGCATGAAGTACACAAGGTTTATATCATAATCTTTTAAATACTGCATTCTAAAAGATATAATTTTTAGACTCGATCATTGTGCAGTTAAAAGCACATTGCAAATGATTGTAAACCTCTTTTATGGCTTCTGGTATCCCACGACGATTTGGGCGTACTGTGCCAGTAGCACCTACACCAAGACACCAAAGGTCCATGAATAGGGTTGGACTGGCATAGTAGTTATCACAGTAAAGTACATGTCCACATGCAAAATGGTTGCGGAGCAAGTCCATCACCAAATCATAGGTGGCACCTTTCTCGCTGGGTGGTGTAGTCGGTTTACCCGTATATAGCTTCATTTTCAGACAATACCCATTCTCTGCATCACAAAGGATGTAAGCTTTCAGGCCATACTTGTCTGGCTTGTCCGGGCTGTATACGCGGAAATGAAGATTTCCCCGCCATGGGACCATGCCCTCGTCAATGCATAGATTCTGATGAGGTTGGTAAACTGTGTCAAACCTTTGAAGAATTCGTTATCAGTTATACCTAAATATGTTGTTAGCTCACCTGAGCCATAGGCTCAAGTGAGCTTTTCTGATCAAAATTTGTCCGTTGTCTGTCGTTGTTGTTGTTGTAAACTTTTCACATTTTCATCTTCTTCTCAAGAACCACTGGGCCAAATTCAACCAAACTTGCCACAAAGCATCCTTGGGTAAAGGGGATTCAAGTCTGTTCAAATGAAGGGCCACGCCCTCTTTCAAGGGGAGATAATTAGGAATTAGTGAAAAAATAATGGCATCATTTAAAAATCTTCTTCTCAAGAACCACTGGGCCAGGAAAGATGAAACTTATGTGGACCCGAAACATCCTCAGGTAGTGTAGATTCAAGTTTGTTCAAATCATGACCCCCGAGGGTAGGGTGGGGCCACAATGGGGGATCCAAGTTTTACATAGAAATATATAGGAAAATATCTTTAAAAATCTTCTTCTTAAGAACAGCAAAGCCATGATTGGTCATATTTTTATGGAAGCATCCTCAGGTAGTGTAGATTCAAGTTTGTTCAAATCATTACCACGGGGATAGGTTGGGGCCACAATGGATGATCAAAGTTTACAGAGGAATATATAGGAAAAAGTCTTTTTCTCAAGAACAGAAAAGCCATGATTAGTCAAATTGATATGGAGGCATCTTTGGGTAGTGTAGAATGAAATTTGTTCAAATGAGGGCCCCCGGGGGAAGGGTGGGGCCACAATGGGGGATCAAATTTTTACAAATGAATATATGGGAAAAAAGTCTGCTGCTCAAGAACAACAAAGCCATTTGTTATATTGATATGAAAGCATCATCAGGTAGTTTAAAATTCAACACCCCCCTCCCTGTAAACTTTTCAATACTGTACTGATTTTTGCTTTTTTTTTCCTAGCCAGTGTGCTCAGGTGAGCTATGTGAAAAAAAAAAAATTGATATTACTGATAGGTAAGATACCTTCAATCATGTGGATTTCACATGCTGATAAACAGTTAACACACCATCCAGGAAGTTGCATCATGAGCACCTAAAAAAAGAGTACTCCTTAAATTCATTGATTGCCCACAAGTATAATATTCCTAATATTTGAGTAAAAAATAAATACTGTAGGCCTAAAATGAGAAACCGAAAAAGAAAACATGAAAAGAAATTGTCTCTTTCTACAAAGAACAATAACTGACTAAGTTCATTTTGATTTGCTATTCCTGGCTCTAAGCTAAGCATGGCATAACAAGGTACTACTGGAAAGAAAGGGTAAATTATTCATATGGTAAGAAATTAACAAATCAAACTTTGTAAATAAATACCCAAGCATTTGGTTTTGTCTTTGATTTCGACAAAATGTTATTGATCTCCAAAAATGTTTATGTGTGCTGAGCCACAGTAAAATTTTAAATGTTGTAGAACAGTATATCCATATCTAGATTCAGTAAGAAATTTCTAGTCATTTGACAAGTTAATTTCACAGTTTCACAAAAGTTTGAATAACAATGTTATGGTTAATAAAATATTATCCAATTTAAGCTTATAATTATATTATTAAAGTGCAATTTGTCAAAGTAAAAAATGCCTGTAAAAAGAACAAGTGGCCATGGGCAACAATGCTCACCCGAGTCACTATGGCCTTGCTGTTCTACTTTTTTTTTTACTACACATGATGATGTATATTTATTCATATGTAAAAAGTTGATTGTCCATTGTGGCCCCACTCTACCCTGGGGGGGGGGGGGGGGGGGGGGGAGGGGGGGTCATGATTTAAACAAACCTGAATGTACACTAAGTAATGAAGCTTTCAGAGAATTTTCATTTTCTGGCACACAGTAATGAAGCTTTCAGAGAAATTTCATTTTCTGGTCCACTGATTCTTGAGAAGAAGTGTTTTTAAAGATGCCATTAAATTTACAACAATTCTTAATTATCTCCCCTTGAAAGAGTGTGTAGCCCTTCATATGAACAAACTTGAATTTCCTTTACCCAAGGACGCTCTGTGGCAAGTTTAATATTGGCAAAGTGGTTCTGGAGAAAAAGATGAAAATGTGAAAAGTTTATGTTGCCGCCTCCAACAACAACAGTGACAGACAACAGACAAATTTTGATCAGAAAACCTCTCTTAAGCCTTTGGCTCAGGTGCGCTAAAATAAAAAATGGAGAAATAAAATTTATTGTTAATGGCAGTTTTACTTATGTATTTTAAAACTCTTTCTCAAATACCATGGATATGTCTAAGTGCTCAAGTTCAGTGAGTTTATGATCTTTACCCGCTATTCTTGAAACCTCAATTATCTGTTTCTCAAAGGTTTTTTTTTTCAGTCCCATCTATTGCCATAATAGGCTTATCTCCAGGGGGTTCTCATGACTAGCAATTACATACATGTAAGCAATAATGTTTTTGGATATTAATATATTGAAATAAATAAAACTGAATAATTAAATGACAAGATATGCATTCGACATTGGGTGACACAATTGGGGAAAATATTCTGGCATGTTACCCTCGAAGTAAGTGATTGTGAAATTTACTTGTCTGAACATAACTTTTACTTGTATGAAAATATTTCATAAAAGACCTATTTAACAATTTGAAAAAATATTGTACATTACAATAGTCTATAATACATTCATTGAGTCTGTTTTTGAGATTTTGAGTGGACACATCTATTGCAAATTACTAAACTGTATCATCCTATCCTAAAGTAGATGTAAATCATGTTATATAATTACATGTATGAAAGAAAAATAGTAACAAGAAATAGCTGACTATATGACTTCAAATTTTTCTTTGCCTTCTTTTGCTTATCCTTTGTAGCCTAAATTGTCTTTTGCTAAAGCTCTCCTGCCAGATAATAAAAACCCAAATTTCCTTCAGTAAAAGTACACGTTTCAAAGTTACTGTAGTTCTAAGTAGTCAACTTCCTGGTACTTTAAATATTAAAATTAAAATTGTGACAAATGCCTGAAAAACATCAGATATTTCAGACAAGTTTCATAGTAACATTGTTCCTGATCAAGTTTGACAACCAGGGCCATCATTATTACGAGCAGGATCAACATTTAACTATTTACAAACCGCATGCATGGCATGTTTCCATTTTGAACCTCCGATAAAAAGTTGACAACAAATTTTAATTCTTTAAGTTTTCATGCTCAGCTAAAAAAAATTCTTTCTAGAAAAATATCCCTTGTCAAATCGGACAAGTGGTCAGTAATTATCAATTGTTCATGAAAAATTTTACTGGTACCTGTACTGGACAAGTGGATGAGCATACAATGTCGAGCCCAGGAACTATGCCCCATTTTTTGTTTATATTTGCCTTAGCAACCAACAGCATTAAATCTCTAACCCGAACTATTATAATATGTAGCATAAAAGCACATGAGGATGATCAAGAGGGTGTTACAACTGTTTCTGTTTTGTTGTATTTGTTTCTGGCATTTGTTATTAACTGTTTCTGATGTGATGTGAATTCTTCATGGTATATATAGTGAAACTATATTTGTGACAAAAACATGATAAAAAAAATTATTAAAAAATGTTTTTCAAAAATGTAAATGATACTAGTAGTATAAAAACTCATTTTTAAGCATTTTAGAGTAGAATATAAACATCGAACCTAATGGGTCCTAGAAAAATCTTTGTGATATCCTACGATTCAAGATACTGAAGTTAAAATATGTACTTGTAGCATAGCATAAATTTTCCATCTTTAACGCTCAGTTATACCTCGATAAATATTGCTAATGAGAGGAGGAGCGCAACTAATATTTCTATCTTCATGATAACACAAATCTAAATAAGTCAGTTATTTTTATAGCTAATTTAGCCTTCATTAAATTCAACAAATTTCTTTAAATCTGTTCAGAATCAGACAAGTAAAAAATATTTATGCATTCGGACACAGGGTTTAACATTTATAAGGCATGTCTGATCGACACTGACTAGTAAAAGTTTGGTCCTGTCTAAAAATTGAGTGTACATCTGACATGTAAAATTAATATAACAAGTGTGCAGCATGTGTATTTTATTCATCTGCTCTCATGTACACACAGGATTCGAAATACCCCAAACTGTAGGGGTCTACAAATACAGTCATGACTTTAATGATTTTAGGTTAAAATTAAAAACAAGTAATTGTAATTGGAAGTATTCTATCAATACTAATATGTCAACTATCATCCACCAGTATAATGCTACGACATTGACGAGAAAAAACCATGCGTTTTCTACATGGGCATTTCTTCAATCAGTTTGTTTATGTACAAGTATAAATTTATAATAATCTTCTTGGGTTTTAATGTGATGGAGGAGGGTGCATTTAGTCATCAGGATGTTGTAACGCGGTCTTAAAACTCTTTAATAGCTTTGGGGCACGAACTACTTTTAAATTAGTTAAATAATCTAACTGCGTCTCCAGACGAGCCCTCACCACACCTCTCTTTAACCGGGTCTGAAGCACATTAATCAATTTAATGATTAGAAAATTCTATCTACAACTACTTCCTCTTCCAGATGACTCCAGTCTATTGCAGTGTAAACAAAAAATGAGTTTTATATTTTTTGGTTTTGGTGTTTGGTATCTCCACTGCTTTATTGTTGTTACAAGGATTACAGCAAGTTAAACTATGAATTAAATTGTTTATTTTATACATACATGTGTACCATGCATGTTCATGACTTGTTGGTTGTCAAATGTGTGGATATGTCATGCGAGGAACAGACGTAACTGCGCAAGGTAAAATACCATGAGTCGTGAAGCGCGGGTCTGCGACATTCGGAATACAGAAGTATTTCTGCTGTTTGAGTAACCATACACCACTTTGTGTGCGGTGAGGCATGGATAAGTATGATTACTTCACATTGTGCTGAATAATTACCAATCAATTATCAAGTTTACCTGAACTGATCTTCTTTGTTAATAGTAACTGTTTGGTCACAAATTAACTGAGCGTTGTATATAGCCCTAAAACTTTTATAACTTTGAGTGCAATTGCGCAGAAAAAGACACATTTTCAAGAGAATTTTTTTCATGAACATAATGAATTGTTTTCAGATGAGCTAAAAGTTGAAAATTATCACTGCACGAAAGTGCGATTTTGTGCACATCTTGAGAAAAAAGCTAATTAAAGAAATGTTTGATTTAGTAGTTAAATAAAGCTACTTCAGGTAGGTAAATAAAGCTATGTAGGTAATTCAAGCTACGTAGCTAAAACTAGTGATTGTACCAGCTAAATGACTGTGTATCAGTGTATCGTCCAAGTGTAGAATTGTAGATATCTTTTAATTAAAACTTTGAATTTGATAGATTTGAACTTAGGCGACTAACCGTATGTTTCTTACACATTCTTCTAATACCTCCACAACAAAACACTCGCCGCAACCATTCTTATTAGTCATCCTAAGCTTCCTCAGTCCTCGGTCGGAGCCTGTACTGCCATTTTGGTCGGCTAAATAACCCGACCCACTGTTGTTTCGTAAATTGCCAGCCCGTTTTTTTTTTTTTTAAATACAGAACATTTAATTCTAATAAATCAGATCTTATTTCCTCTGGTAATCCATCACAATTTTTTTCAGACCAGCTGTACAGCATTTGAAGACAGAATAAAAAGATAAATATTTATTTATAATTGCCATGTCGAACCTCGTATTAGTCGATGCTGAAGAAAGATGGTAATGAGGACGGAAATGCACAATTCATTTATTTTATTGATTAATCCTATTGCAAGTAATTAATGATAGTATCGTCATGATTTTTTCATAAATATGCAATACAGAATTAAAAAGTTTTGAAATTATTGGTAAATAAACATGATAAATGGCAATATTGATCATGTATTTTTTATCACCCTGTACACATACTGAGTGTAGGGCACTGTATTACAGTATATCTGGTAGAGTTTGAAATGACATTTGTTTAATCATAAAATATGCTCTTATAGTGAAGAAATTGCATGCGTCTAATTAAATAAACGAGAAAACTACATGCATGGGTCCCAACTTGCATTTCATTCTATGTTAGGGGTCTCTTAGCAATACCCAGAGACCTATATAGTAATATACTAACAAAATATCACATAATTTATTCAATATATAAGCACCATCTTGTAAAATATTGTATCATGTCATAGGAGATGTTCTATTGCACACCTTAAACATACACATAGCCCAATCACCCTGTTGTAAGTGTTAAAAGTCTATGCATATTTATGTGTTATGTGATTTACATTTGTTGTGCAGTACTTGTACATTGTTTAAAAGAATTTTTAATTATTTCAAAGATAAAGTCTTGGGTCCCTGTATTTATTTTGGGGCAGACAATAGTCACTAATTTAATTTAGGGTATGTGTACATCAGGAATTAAATTTGTGTTTATGATTTAGTTGCTTTCAAATTGGCTTTTAGATCAGTCTCTACTCCAGTGGAGAGGATGATTCCTCTTGATTCTGGAGTCAAAAGGTCAAAGTTATGATTTCGGGGTATGGATATGGAATGAAAAAGAGAAGATAATGAACAGTGATCTATTTCATAAAAATTACAAACAATACAAATCTTTGAACACTGCATAAACACAGACCCCCTAAAATTCCAGAGGTGGGATCACGTGCCAAGGAGGATTAAGCATCCCCTGTTGACCGGCCACACCCACTGTGAGCCCTATATATTGATCAAGTAGATGGAATATTCGATAGTCAAATTTAGCATATAAACAAAGGCCTAACAATTGGTATGAAGCAAGTCAGCCAAAATACGACCCAGTGATAGGTTATATTTGCTAACAGGTAAATCTTTGTACACCCTTGATTACACCTGGATAACAAATCTTTATTTCCTATATAACCTAATAATTTCTCTGTAAACCCAATTCCACTAATATTTTAAACTACTGATTTACTACATGCTTCAATACATCGTGACATCATGTTGTATGGTGTTTATTTGATATAGAAACTATTCATTGTGATGTCACATTATTTAACCCCACCCACCCCACCCCAGCTTTAGCTGGGTGTAAGGAAATTTACACACCGCTTGCTAACCAATCAGATCTCGTGTTTTAAGATACATAGGAAATAATTAAGGACTCTTATTGAAGGTTATATAAGGATTTTTCAATCCAAAGAAACGTGAATTATATCAATTGAGGCAATGAAATTATAATTATTTTACCAAACTTTTTCATTATTTCATAAATATCTCTAAAGCTTTTGAATATGGTCCATGTATACTGCCCTACTCATCTGCAAAAATGGGTACAAAACTGGTTGTTAAAAAGAAACTTGGAAGTACTTGCACATGGACTACTTGGGAGCTACTTCATAGTTAGATTACTTTTTCTGTTTAACACGACAAAATGCTATAATGGTTACAACCAAAAGATTTACTTGAAATGCTTCACTTATATAGTAGCATTTATTATCTTGATACATCAGCTTTGTATATTTATTAGTATGATTGCAAATAGATGAACAGGCAGGCACATATGCTAAAGTGTTCCTTCACTTTGATTTTTTTAATTATTTAAATAGATACTACCTATTTTTGAAACATATTTTCTGATCTGTTCCTAGAACGAATCAAAAAATTGATAAATGAATGAACTTCTTTTCTACAATTTCAGTACTGTCCAGTAAATGAAGCCATGTTTCTCAAATTTTCCATTTTGACATTTCTGATCAATTTAAATTTATTTAAATTATGTATATAATATCTTGTAGTTGAATACATAAAAAGAGTTGGTAAAATGTATATAATTATGAACTTTTAACTAATTGTTAATTTATTTTATTTAAATTATATGTAGTAATTGATTAATGAGTGGTTGGTTGTTTAGAACTATAAAAGTTTGCATCAAAATGTGAAAACTTGTTGGTGATTCATATGAAATTCATCAAATGCTAAATAAGAAAGATGCACAGTCAAACCTCATTATTTTAAAATAGATGGAACTGAAAAAACTTAGAGATATAGGAGTATTCAAGATATCGAGTGTTAATTTCTTAAAAAATAAGTGGTTCGGACTTCCAGATAACTTTGACATATCCATGGTATTCAAGTTATCAGTGCTTGAGATACCAAAGTTCAACTGTATTTAAATTTGCAGTGACTGAACACTTTTGGAATGCATCTGATACACCTGCACAAACAAAAGTTTCTAGAAAATAAACACTTATTTAAAATTGCAGTGCTTTCTCCTGAGAAATATTAGGATTCAAGGAGACTCATTTATAACTATGAATGACTAAAAAGGGTCAATAGTTCAATGCTGTAGTTCCTTATTCTAGCTTGACATTTGATTTTTTGTTGTTGTTGTTTAACGTCCCTCTCGAGAATTTTCACTCATATGGAAATGCTACCACTTGCCGATGGAGAGTTGCAAATTTTGACTTGTACTCGGTACTCAGGGCCATTGAGCAGTGAGGGATCTTTTTCGTGCCAGCACCTACTGCGACACTGGACCTCGATATATATGGTCTCATCCGAAGGACCGGTCTCCATGTCCTACAGTGGGATTCGAACCCACGACGTAAGGATCAACTCCTTACTCTGCGACTCTAGAGCATATGCTCTAACCACTGCGCCACACAGGTGACGCTTGACATTTGAAATTCAAAGTAAAAACATTAATGTTTTATACACAATTTATAATATTCTAATGCTTCATATATGGGCAAAATGTAACATGAAAAAGTATAATATTTTATCATCTATGGGACTATAGTCATATGTTGTTACCTACCATAAAGCCCTTTGGATTCCATGGGATTTGATCACATGACCAACGTGTATCTATAGCCCCATGGTAATTTTAAAGGGGATAGAATAAATGTGTCAGAAATACTTAAGCTTGCATGTCCCTTAATAACCAGTCCTTTAGCTATAATATCTAAGTTTTCTTAGCTTTAAACCAAAAGAAATTTAACTTAAAAATCCAGCTGTTTTACAAAAATTATACAGTCATGTATCTTTATAACCAAGTTGATTTGTAAAGGCAAAAAAATCAAAGATGTGCAGATAGTGAAAACAATTACAGGGTATGCGATATATGGTATAGGTCTAATTGCCGACTAATTAAGTTGCCATAGCACCTAAAAATTATGATTGGTGCCTAAAATTTTTCTAGAATTCGCAAAATTGGCGACCATTTTAAATTGGCTTGGTGATCATCAAATTACTGAACTATAAACATTTTCAATTTTTTTTTTTTAGAAAGAGCCGAAAAGAAGCAATGGACATGTCTCTAATATTGACTAATATCAGTTTTTAGATTGGTGCCTAAGAAAAATTTACCTGGCGGCTAAAATTTGCATTTGTGACTAAATTTTTTTTTCATAAGGAGCCAGTTGGTGCCTAAATTTTAGAGGTCACATAGAGGCCTGTGGTAGAGTTAACATATTTAGTGCATGTTTATCAATTTACCAGTCGCCACGTGGCATAGAGTATAGAGCTTTTGCTCCAGAGTCGCAAAGTAAGGAGTTGATCCTTACTTCAAGGGTTTTAATCCCATTGTGGGACCTGAAAACTGGTCCTTTGGATGAAACCGTATAAAGCAGGTTCTTTGTTGCAGTAGGTGTTTGCACAAAATATCCCTTACTGCTAATATAAATGGCCATAAGTGCTGAGTTCAGGTCTAATTTTGCAGCCCTCCACAGGGCAGTGGTGGCTTCTTAACATGAGTAAAAAATTCTCGAAGGGACGTTAAATAAACAGTAAAAAAATCATTTTACCAAGGAGAGAAATCAATTGTTAATAAATAGAACATCATGTTTGACATAAACAGAATAAAATATGAAATCTAATTCAATTTGAGCAAATATTTTTTCAAATCTAAGAATTGTTGAAACTTCCTGAGGTATTGATTATTTTTAACTCTTTGAATGAATGGGATGTTTGAAATTCTTTGGAATCTTGACTTATTTTAAGTGCATTATATAAGACTTATAAACTATGTCTCAAAGAGCAGCAGTATTTGGTTTATGTGACTACATAGGTAGTGCATATAGTCAGTGACAGTTACTCCTATAAGAGGCTATCAAGTCATTTCCTCTGAGGCATGGAAATCAAAGTCACCTGCATGGTGCAATGGTTAGAGCATTTGCTTTAGAGTCGAGGAGTTTGTTTGTTTGTTTTTATGTTGTTTAACGTCCCTCTCGAGAATTTTTCACTCATATGGAGACGCCACCATTTGCTGGTGGAGAGCTGCAAATTTTGTCCTATACTCGGCACTTACGGCCATTGAGCAGTGAGGGATCTTTTTCGTGCCAGCATATACTGCGACACGGGACCTCGGTTTATACAGTCTCATCCGAAGGATCGGTCTCCACGTCCCACAGTGGGATTCGAACCCAGGACGTAAGGATCAACTCCTTACTCCGCGACTCTAGAGCAGACGCTCTAACCACTGCGCCATGCAGGCGACGAGTCGAGGAGTAAGA